TTACTACACCTGATATGTACAAATAATAATAACCTTTAAAAAGATATCTTTTTTAAATATTGGACACTATTAATAAACGTGTTAAATTTTTCTAACTCGGTATCATTTTTACTTGTAAAAACTTATGTTATGTACATAATATACCAGGTGTGTCGGTAATTCCTTTCCGGTTTTTTCGCTAAAGAAAACACGTTATTTACAATGGATAGTTAAAATATATTTATTCAAAGTATTGGCCATTTGATTCTATACATTTTGCCCATCTCTCAGGCAATTTATGGATGCCATTCCAAAAGAACTGTTTCTCCTTTGAGCTAAACCATTCATCGAGCCATTTTTTAACTTCTTCGAAATCAGCGAAGTAATGCTCTGCAAGCGCGTGTCCCATCGATGCGAAAAGGTGGTAGTCGGATGGAGCCAGGTCTGGAGAGTACGGCGGGTGCGATAAAACTTCCCATCCAAGTGATTTCAACACTTCTTTGACTGGTTTTGCTGTATGAGACGGCGCGTTGTCATGCTGCAAAATCACCTTATCATGTCTTTGAGCGTATTGTGGACGTTTTTCGATCAATGCACAGTTCAAATTGATCATTTGTTGTTGGTAGCGATCAGTATTAACTGTTTCTCCAGGTTTCAACAGTTCATAATATATGACACCAACCTGGTCCTACTAGACACAGAGCATGGTCTTGCGACCAAAGCGATTTGGCCTTGCAGTCGATGGGCTGCCTTCGCCAGGTGATAACCATGATTTTTTTCGCTTGGGATTTTCGAAATAAATCCATTTTTCATCACCCGTTACTATTCGATGCAGAAATGACTTCCTTTCATACCTTTGAAGCAGCATTTCACTGACGATTTTTCGATTTTCCAATTGCCTGTCATTCAATTCATGTGGCACCCATCTTCCCATCTTTTGGATCTTTCCCATCGCTTGTAATCGTTCACAAATTGCTACTCGGCTCACATTCAACTTTTCTGCCAATTGTTTTTGAGTTTGTGTTGGGTCTTCATCCTCCTAATAACTCCTGCAATTCCGCATCTTCAAACGTTTTCGGCCTACCAGGACGTTTTTTGTCTTGAACGTTGAAATCATCACATTTGAATTGTCGAAACCACATTTCATATGTTCTTATGGTTGGAGCATGCTCACCGTAAGTCTCTACTAGCAAACGATGACTTTCAGCGGCTTTTTTTCTTTTGATTAAACAAGAAAAGTAATGCGTGCCGCAAATGCACGTTTTCAGGCACAAAACTCGACATTTTCAAAAAATTATTAATCTATAACGCTGTTATTTTGGCGGAACGTAACTTGTGTAGTTTTGAGGTTAATGTCAGTAGAATAAAATGACATATGTATCAAATCATAACATTGCATACTTATGGCTAGTGACATCTGTTACAAAAACCGGAAAGTAATTACCGACATACCTGGTATATCTTAAAAAAAGGAAATAATTTGAATTTGTAATTTTTACTTGTAAAAACTTATGTTATGTACATAATATATATCTTAAAAAACGGAAATAATTTGAATTTGAGATTTCTAAAAATATTAAGTATACGATTTCTCAGTTGGCGGAACTGTTTTAATATATCACTTCTTTTGTATAATATAATATATATTACGAGGGTTGCCTTTTATATTTCGGGAATGGACGATCCAGGTGCTACCATCTGACAACCGACGTCCCTAACGTAAAGTTCGACTTTTTGTCAGTATACTTACTCAGAACGTTTTGATGTCCATGCGCCATTTGTGTTGTTTACAGTGACATGAAAAATTGATGTCGGCCAAGAAATGGAATTAAGTTGTGAACATTTCCGTGCGATTATTTTTTACAACTTTCGACGTGGGTTATCTCAACAACAGTGCATCGATGAACTTAATTCGACTTTTGGCGATGAAGCACCATCAAAAACCACTATATATCGATGGTATACAGAATTCAATCGTGGCCGTAGTTCGCTTAGTGATGAATTTCGTGAAGGTTGTCCAAAATCGGTTGTTGTTCCAGAAAACATTGATGCTGTGCGTGAACTGATATTGCAAGATCGTCATGTGACTTATCGTGAGATTGAGGCATCCTTGGGCATTAGTGGGACCAGCATACATTCAATATTGCATGAACATTTGGCTGTCAAAAAAATTTGTTCGCGTTGGATCTCACATAATTTAACAATCGTTCAGAAAAAGGCTCGTGTCGATTGGTTGAAAGAAATGCTCAAGAAATACGATTGCGGTGCTTCAAAACACGTCTATGATATCGTAACAGGTGACGAATCATGGATCTATGCGTATGAGCCCGAAAGTAAACAGCAGTCGACTGTATGGGTCTTTCAAGATGAGCCAAATCCAACAAAAGTTGTTCGCGCACGAAGCACTACGAAGCAAATGGTCGCCTGTTTTTTCGGAAAAACCGGACACATGGCAACTGTACCATTAGTGCAATGTCGGACGGTCAATTCTGAATGGTATACAACCATTTGTTTGTCAGAAGTCTTCGGAAAAATAAGGGAAATCAACCGCCGAAGACGCATCATTCTCCACCAGGACAATGCGAGCTCTCACACATCGGCTCAAACAAGAGACTTTTTGAGAACTGAAAAAGTCGAATTGATGGGTCATCCGCCATACAGCCCTGATTTGGCACCCAATGACTTCTTTTTATTCCCGCAAATCAAAAATAAATTACGAGGTCAACGTTTTTCGACGCCTGAAGAAGCGGTTGATGCGTTCAAAATGCATGTTTTGGAGGTATCTCAATCGGAGTGGAAAAAGTGCTTCGAAAATTGGTTCAAGCTCATGCAAAAGTGTATTGACCTTCATGGAGAATATTTTGAAAAACAATAAACCCATGTACGATGATTAATTTCCTTTTTTTGTTCTCTATTCCTGAAATATAAAAGACAACCCTCGTATATATCTACATACCATATAACTGTCCTGCTACTGATACGTTAGTTGTTGGGACAGTAAATTTTACATGTAATTTTACATGTAATTACTTGTCAAAATTTATGCCAATATGTATTAGGTTTCTCAGTTGGCGCTACTGTCTAATATATCACTTCTTTTGTACAGTAGAATAGTGTTGTAGAGTTTTAATATAGTTATAAGTTTTACTTGTAAAAACTTATGTTATGTACACATAGCGCTTGTACTTGGCGCCTTTTTTTTTACCTTTTTGTTTAAAAAGGTAAGTTTTATATAAATTTTACTTGTAATATAAAGAAAATTTACAAGAACATTTTATTATAATAAAAATGCTGTCATGTATGTATTAATCAAGTTTTAGTTCGGTATAGTTTTTTAAAGTCAAATTAGATATCATTGACATTTCGTCAATTATAATAAGAATAACATCTTTGAATAAAAAAATATCAAAATATGTAGAATATATACACATTCGATATGTATATTCTATAGTGAAGGTTTATAATTTATTATAATATTATATAAACTTAATAGATACATACATACTTATATTGGTATGTACGTATATACATACCAATATATATATCAATATATACTCTTTCACTTTCTCTCTCTCTCACTCTCTTCCACTCTCTCTAGCTCTTTCTCATTTTCTTTCATTCTTTCACTCTCTCATTCTCACACTTTCTCTCACTCCCAAAACTCTCTCACGCTCTCTCACTCTTCCACTCTCTCTCTCTCTCTCTCTCTCTCTCATTCTCTCCCATTCTCTGTCATTCTCACTCATTTTTTCTCTCACTCTCACTTTCTTTCATTCCCAAACCTTCTCACATTCTCTCACTTTCCCTCTCCCATTCTCTCATCCTCCCTCATTCTCTCTCATTCTCTCTCATTTCCTTTCATTTTCTCATTCTCTCTCTCTCTCTCTCTCTCTCTTTCTAATAAAAATCACTCTCACTCTCTATCTTCCTCTCTCTCTCTCTCTCTAGCTCTTTCTCACTCTCTCTCTCATTCTCTTACCCTTTCAACCCCTCACTCTCACATTTTTTCTCACTCCCAAATTCTCTCACGCTCTCTCTCTCTCTCTCTCTCTCTCTCTCTCTCTCTCTCTCTCTCTTACCCTCTCTCATTCTCTCCCATACTCTCATTTTCTTTCATTCTTTCTCATTCTTTCCTATGCTCGCCCATTTTGTCATTCTCTCTTATTTTCTCTCTCACTCTCACACTTTCTTTCACTCCCAAACTCTCTCAAGCTCTCTCACTTTTCCACTCTCTCTCACTCTCATTATCTCTCATCCTTTTCCATTCTCTCCCATTCTCTGCCATTCTCACTCATTTTCTCTCTCACTCTCACACTTTCTCTCACTCTCACATCCTCTCACGCTTTCTCACTCTCCCTCTCTCATTCTCTCTTTTTCTAATAAAAATCATTATATTATTATTTATTATTATATTATACATATTTATTATAAATACATTATTTATAAATACATATCGCATTCGCTGTTATGTGCTTCTTCAGCGCTCTCGTAGCGATGCATGCATAGCCCCACTCCTTTGCGTCCGACATTTCTTTTTTATCTTATTACTGAGTCGAAATTTTCTTTTGTTAATATATCGGGTTATGATTAGGGGCAGGAGTTGAATATGTACTCTCGAATCTTAATAAACTCAGTAGTTAAGTATCATCACACTAAAATTAAATAATATCTTATCGATCATTATAAGTTCGCGTTTTACATAATTGTAAAAAATTTATTACGATCAAATGTACAACAAAGTAAATATCAAATGGTATCAAGGCGAAATATAGTTGGAACTTTTTGAGATATATTCAAATCGATGTTATTTGAAATCATTTTATTTATTCACAACATGTATACGTATATTTTTACTTTGATATTTTTATGTTTCGAGATGTCCATAAAAACTTGAACATATTTCAAAAAGTTCCTTTATCTACATGTGCAAAAAATCTCTATTACTACAATTTTGCAAAATTAGGCCGACAAATGAAAATATAAAATTTAATTAAAAATAGAGAGGCATACAAATCAGGCAGTGCTTATTTCCTTTCTAATATTTCAGCTGTATGTATTCGCTTGATGCACCACTTATATGTGTAAAAGTCCATAATATATATACATATATTAAAGGAACTCCATTTCTCGCTCGATACCGACGAATTTTAATTGTTCCGTTGGTCCATATCTGAAAATTATCGCATGATTTTAATTGTTTGCAATTAATAAATTAAACAAAACATTACAGCAACATACCTATAGTTAAAAAATAATTCTTCACCAGGTTGAATCGCTCTCTTAGCAAAAATACCTATTCCATGATCACCGTTCACCATCATCACTTTTGCATAACAATTTGGATTTATCGAGTGATTAGTGAACTTTATTTTATTCCCTTTCCGTGTCGCGTCTATAACAAAATCTGAAACAGACCAAAAATTTTTAAGTTTTGTTATTTTTCAACATTTAATTAACCACTATATCTATCTCTATTTACCATTGTTAAGATTAAAAAGGAAACTACACATATATTTATCATATATTTTTCCCCGCCTGTCAGCTTCGTCTTGACTGATAATTTCGCTGCAATATTCCTAGATGAATTTATTCTTCGCTGCTGATATTTCAAATTGTATAAAGTATATTTCAAATCAAAAATTCTACTCATTGAGATTATATTGATTTTCACTCTAATAAATTAAATTTTTCGAAACTTATAAAGACCACGTTGCACGCTGACATTTTTGCAAGATTTAGAATTGATTTGGAAATGATCTGCATCATACGTTTGGCAAAGATCCGGATCACATTCCCTGACAGCCAGATAACAAGGATACTGATTTGTATTGCATTGCGCTTTGCACCTACACTCAGGAAATATGTTCTGGCATTCGCTGCTGCACTGATAAAACTTCTCGCAGAAGTTTTGTACTTGTATACATGGGCATGAATTATCACACTGACAGTCGGGATGATCACAAGGTGCAAAATTGTGCATGTGATTAGCACCTATTCATTCAAATGAAACGTATGAATTAGAGGCAAATAAGATGAGGGGATAGTATAAAATTTAACATACCCGAGTCCTTCTTAAGTTGTATTTTCCGGCAATGCCACAACCGATGCTTTTTTTCTTTTTTCGCGGCGGTGTGAAGTCCTTGAGATTTTCTATAGTAGGAATGTCCGAAGCTTCTTTCTGCGCAAATTCGTAAACTTCCTTACATGTTTTTGTTAATAATCATTTTTGTTAATAATCATACTTACTTCTTAATCAATCACTGATGTTTAATAAAAAAATATCCTAATCAATCACTAATGTATCCCACTGATGATGACGATGCACTGATTTTGCGTGTTTAATGTATGTATATATTCTTAATCAATCACTGATGTTTAATCAAAAAAATCGTAATCAATCACTAATATATATCCCACTGATGACGATGCACCGATGTTGCGTACTTAACCCACCATTTCTTCCCAATATTGCGTATACGCAACAGGAAGTTTAACTTCACAAAATGCAGTCAAAATGAACTTATTTCACAATTAGTCTAACACTTCGTGAAAAAAAATAATTACTGATAATTAATTATATAAACTTCGTGTTGCGTATATGCAACATTGGGAAGAATTGGGTTATGTATGTATACTACTATTCAGCGCTCTCGTAGCGCCCCTGGTGTCGGAAAAACGAGAAGCACAAATCCCCTCTCCTCGGCGGTTTAGCGTTTCTTTCTTTCTTACTTTCTTACTGAATCGTAATTTTCCATGATTCAGACTTTATCTTAAAATATCTCCACTTAGAGACAATGTACAAGCACAAGAACATTTTTCTTCCTATTTTTGAAGGCCGAATCGATTGGGACTAAAAAACCTCGATTGGTTCAGCCATTGCTGAGATATAAAAATCTCACCTCGCTTCAACTCGCAGTTTCGCGTATAATAGGCACGGTGTGCCTCTTGATCCCCTATGTTACAGAACGTTAAGTTGTGCTTTCTTTCCTTTTTTTGATCATAAAAATTTTTTTGCGACATTAATTGACAACCTCCTGTAAATTCATTGTTGCTTAAATTACCAGAGTGATAACAAGTGGTTTTTACATTATTTAAGTTATTAAAATAGTACTGAGTTGGTAACGTGTAACCCAAGTTTTGAAGATCCTTTTCTTGACAATTCAATGTCGCTTATCTCTTACACATATGTTTTACATGTTTCACAAGTAAACCACAAAATTTTTGATTAATAGTATAATAGTATAATATAATTAAAACTGGTGATTACTTTGTAAATGCACATAAAATACATGTGCACAAAATAAGCGACATTAACCTGTCAAGAACAGGATCTTCAAAACTTGATAAAAATCTCATCGATATCAACTCAATACTTCCTATAATACTCCTCAAATTATCAGAGTGGTGACAAGTAGTTCTTGCAGAATTAGTAGTGATGATAGCAAGTTTTGAAGATCTTGTTCTTAACAGGTCAATATCGCTTACCTCACATATTTGTATTCTACATGCATTTATAACCATAAAAGTTTTAATTATATTATACTATTAACCAAGAAATATAATTAAGTTATTGTTACAGTTGCATTTAAAGTGACTAATGTCTTTACTAAATAATTATAGACAAAAAATAACTTTCAAACTTCTATAACGTAACAACATTATGCGGTGGTTACTCACTATCACTAACGGTACAAACTCACTACTTCCTATAAAAGCTTCACTCTTTAAATTACTAGAGTGGTAACAAGTAGTTTTTGTAGAATTAGTAATGGTGATAGCAAGTTTATCAATAAACAATAAGTAACCACTATGTAGTGCTGTTACGTTAGAAGGTTAAAAATAATTTTCTGTCTGCAATTTTTTAGTACACATATTTGATCACCTTAAATGCAACTGTAACAATAACAGAATAACTTTTCTTGGATAATAATAATAAATATAACTCATACCTTTTGCGATTAACGTACGAATATATGTAGAATACACTTGCATAAGATAAGCGACATCCAACTGTCAAGAAAAGTTAGATTAAGCATCGATTGACACGTTCGCGGGCTCAGCTGAGCGACAAGCGTGTTCACAGTCACCACCTACACAGGTCTGATGGAACTGGACATTTTGACGACGAATTTCGGATGTGATAGTTTTTCACGATTTCGTACTTTGAACTAAAATATTTCGACTTACAGTGCACATAGGACAAAAGTAAAGACAGCTTTGTGATGTAAGTCGATCCCAAGGAATCCATTGTGCTCACTTAGAACTCGATCAGATTAGCCGTTTGGGTGGTACGATAATCTTGCCTCCGATCAACTAAATGCTTCGTGTAAAGATACCCGGCCGATCTTGCGGCCTGTGCGCGTCGCGTCGCTCTCGCATGCACTTGGTGCGAGACACTGCTGTGTCTTTTTATACCATTATAACGTTTATTTGTTTTATTAGCTATTTTACAATTAAGTATGTCATCAAATGTTCTAATTAAACTGTATTAATTTTTTTACAATACATTATCCTTTTGTATCCATGAATTATGCGAATTGAATCCCAGCCATTTTACATACAGGGTGTACCAAAAGTCTGGAAACGGTCGAATATTTCATAAACTATGCATTTTAGAAAGAAATGTTTCAAACAAAAGTTATTTGGTTCGAGGGGGGACATAAGATGGCATCATTGGATTGACGTTGAATGAACGTTCCAAGGTCATACGTAGTTCAACTTTGTTTTTTAATTGGAACTCCCTATTTTTCATTGCATATTCTTGTAGCTCGAGAGCTTTCCAAAATACTATAAGTAAGTTGTTTTATTAAGTATTTTCCGAATTATGGAGATTGAAAGTTATAATTCCGCCGGCATTAGCCAAGGTGTACCGCATGGAGGTTGCACGATCGGGTTTACATCTCTTATGTATGTGTGTGTGTGTGTCACAGCAGAGATAAGGACCCCACAGTTCGTCATTCCCGTAGTATTTAATAACTCCAAACCCTCTCTGCTGTGTGTGCGCGTATGTATGTATCTTATATATGTGCGTGCGTGCGTGTGTATATGTGTGTATGTAGGGGTGTGTGGTTTAGTTGAGTAAATGTTCAAATTGACCTCCGTCTGCTGTTTGACAATGGTCTAGCCGTAGATAAAAATTATTTAAAACATTTCGTCTCATCTCTGCCGAGATAAGGTCGACTTGGTATATTATACATACCCTAAGGTCCGCAAGATGGGCAGGTTTTGTTTCGTATACATTGTTTTTAAGATATCCTCAAAAAAATAATCGACAAAAGAGAGATTTGCTGATCTAGCAGACCACTCTATTTCACTATGTCTTCCTATTCATCGATTTGGAAAAGTATTATCCAAAAATTGCCGTACTGTTACTGCATATTGTGGGCCTGCACCATCTTGTTGGAACCAAATATTGTCTATGTTCCCATCAAACATATTTTCAAGAGCGGGCATGACTTCAATTTGCAATAGCTCCTGATAGATCGCCGCATTCAATTTCCCATTAATGAAGAATGGTTCAACAATACCACGTTCGCAAAAACCCACCCAAATGTTAAGTTTTTGGAGATACTGTGTGCAGATATCACGCATCTAGTGAGGATTTTCATCACTCCAATATCGGCAATTATGCCGATTTACTGCTCCATTCAATTCAAAAGAAGCTTCGTCGGAAAAAATTATGTGATCGAAAAAGTTATTATTATCATCGTATCGACACATCATTTCGTCACAGAATTCATTTCTTCGATCAAAATCATCTTCTGATGGCTCCTGAGTGATTTTAATTTTGAAAGGATGTCATTTCTCTTTCACTAAAATACGATGAATGGACATTGTACTAATCTCATCCGCCTGTGCTGCCTTCTTTAAAGTAGAGTGAGGATTTTCGACGAATATTTGACGAATGCATCACTTCGAAACTCTTATCCAAGTTTGTCGTTAATTTTGGTCTCCCAGTGCGTTGTCGGTCCTTGACAGATTCTGTTTCATCAAATCGTGTGACCGTTTTCTGGACTGTAGACTGCAAAATCGGTTCACGATCTGGATAAGTATTGTTAAAGCAGCTACTTGTTTATAGGATCTAACGCGGTCACCATATCCTCGCATCATCAATAAAGTAATTCTCTCTCTTTCAGATAATATAATTCTGGATGCCACTGAAATTTCACTCAGTTGCTTGATAGTGTGTCGTAATATGAAGAGCTGAATGTATCCAGGATAGGAAAACGTTCGATTACAGGTCCAATCAGAACGATTAATGTAGCAAGACTTTTATTGGAAAAGAACTATGAAAAGTATAATAATTTCGATATTTGAATCTTCCTCTAGTCTACGGTCCACATTCATTGAATCTTCTGTCGATTCTTTTCAGAAAGAATTACTGCAAATGATGCGAGGATATGGTGACCACGTTAGATCCATTGAACAAATAGCTGCTTATCTCTGCTGTGACACACACACACACATATACACAAGAGGTGTAAATCCGATCGTGCAACTTCCACGCGGTACACCTTGGCTAATGCCGGCGGTATTGTAACTTTCAAGCCCCATAACTCGGAAAATATTCAATGAAACATAATTTATTTATAGTGTTTTGGAAAGCTTTCGAGATGAGCTACAATAATATGTAATGAAAAATAGAGAATTCTATTTAAAAAAACAAAGTTGAACTCCGTATGATCTTGGGACTTTCAATGTCAATCCAATGACACCATCTTATGCCCCTCTCGAACCAAATAACTTTTGTCTGAAACATTTCTTTCTAAAATGCATAGTTTATGAAATATTCGACCGTTTCCAGACGTTTGGTATACCTTGTCACTTTGTTTGCGCAAAACCTTTTCTATTAACAAGGGACATGTCACAACTGTCCGGAACCGATTTGATTCTCCTTCAAATATGTTGCTAAATATACAAATCTAAAAGATACGTATTTTTTTATATGTGCGAATATTGAGTTTTAAAGGATGAAACACCCCTTTAAAGAAAAACGGTATTTTTCTTTAGAATCGAATATCTGCTAAACTATAAGTGATAGAAAAAAACATGTAATGAAAATTTAATCGCTTGAAGAATACTTTAAAGTTATATGAACAAAAATTTTTTATTTTTATTTTTTTTTAAGAACCCCCACCACTTAATTTTTTTTGCAAAATATTGCAATAGAAAAAATTTTTTTTTACCTAATTTAAAGCTTATTTTTTCCCAAATTCAACCATATATGATAAAGTTATGTTACGAGATATCATTCTCGAAAATTAATTATAAACGCTTCCATATATACACTTATTCGTACTATGTGTGTAAGTCATTATCGCCGAAACAATAAGATATATGAAAAATGTTTACGTAAAATTTTTATCTATGTTTTCTATGTATTTATAACTACATATTGTGTATATTTAGAATTGTAAAAGAATTTTTAAATAATTTGAAAAATTTTAATTAATAAGAATTTTTTAAATATATCCCCAGCTCTCTTATTATTTCTTTAACATTTAATTTCTTCTATAAATATTAAAAACAATTTTATTCTAAAATTACCTACCTATAATAAAATTATTTTACAATTGAATCTTAAAAATATTGCTGCGCCCGTGTCTTTGG